GAATTATATACTGAACAAAAAAAGTGTGAAACAACTGAAAGCTGTTGAAAGGCTAAGTTAGATAATCATGTCTTTGTGTGTGTTTGTCTATAACATTAGAAAATATCTTAGACAAATTGTAATGAAATATGCAGAAAGTAATCACTGGAATCAAGTCTTCCTTTCTGCGTCAACCAGTTCAACATGGACGCCACGGCCTAGTGAACTTAAGAACAAAGGTCTGTATTTTGGTCAGTTTTACAGTTATTGAGCTGAAGTTTGACATGTTATTGGCTGAGACTGATCCCTAAAACACATTCTGAGAGCAAACCAAATGTGCAGGATCTTTGTTTCAAGTTTTCAAGTTGCTATTTAGAAACAACTCCTGGTTTAAACTTTGTAGATGACAGTATGCTCAATTTACTTTGATATCACAAGAAGTAAAGGACTCAACTACTACCACATCAAATTTTAGTTCATTATTGTTTAAAACCCACTGAGTTACTGAATCTGTATTTTTGTGTTGAATGCCACTTAGTCGTCTTGATTTGACTTGTACAAGAAAAATTTTTTTCCTCATCATCGTGTTTTTTTTGTCTTTTTTCTAAAAAATCTGAAGAATAATTTATGTCTGCATATTTATGCTGCAGCTGAAGGACAGTAAATCTTATCGGAACAGAAGACAGTATATCAAAAGTAATCTTTAAAATAACTTTTGAAGAGAATAGTTTTAAGTTGGCTGCCATTTTGATATGAAACAACTCTAAAAAGGTAAACTGTAGATTTAAGTGACTTTTCTGAAGGTTCCTATGAAATCTGTCCACTTAATAGTTAATTTTACACAAGTATTTTCACTAAAGAGTTTAATTTGATGTTGAGATACTGAGTAAAATTTAAGAATGAAGGRTTAACTACATAAAGAGCAGGCTTTTATTTTTGTTATCATAAGGACATGACTTGTATGAAGCTCTCACCTGCCCCTGTGTCCATCCACCCTCTTGTCTCCACCAGCCAACAGTCTGTGTCCCTCAGCATGGGAGYGGGCTCCCCTGCCTTCCCATCGCTCCTCCTTCTCCTCACTGTGGCTTTGCTCTGATGAGGACAGACTCTGAATGGATGGGGTGGAAGTGGACAGGTGCTCCGTGCTGCTGTACACCTGCAGATTATGGATATTATTATTTGTTCATGTTTTCAATAGTTTTGGTTATTTTATCCAGAGTAACATTAAACAGAACCTTGCTGAACCGGTGGGCAACAGAGGAGAACTGTCGGAGCTCCAGAGATGATTCATCATCGTTTGTTTCATCATCTTCATCTGAGGCCACATGACAGTAGCGTTCTGATCGTGCTGCAGGAAACACAATTTATTCTAATTTATATTCATTCATTAAGCCAGAGTTAGTAAACAATCCTACCAAAGGTTTAGGCTCCCACGTGTCTATATATATA